CCCCCCCAGGGCCTGCTCGCCTGCCACAGCCACCTCTGCAGCACTGGGAGATATTCTCTGTCTCTGCTGCAGGTGCGCTAGGCTGTGAGCAAGTCAGCGCCCCGCTGTCTTAGCAGGCTCAAACGTCCGAGCTCCTGGAGTCCAGCACAGGGTGACAGGTTCCAATTGGTCGATCATGCCCCGGCACCTCAATCCCCCCCCCATTTCGCTCCAGCCGGCGGGCGTGGGCCTCAGAGCCAGACAGACAATTCCAGCAGCGGTGGTACCAGTGCCACCTACAGTGCGAACATAACCTTGTGGCACCTAGTCAGGGTTCCTGCTAATGCCCCCAGGACCTTATCAGCCCTTTGGGCCACAGCAGTGCCCTGGCCCTCATGTTCAGCTGATGCTCCACCAATCACAGTCATGCCAAGGCTTTTCCCACGCCGCTGGGTCCCAGGAGTGAGTCGTCTCCTGGCCAGGACAGACTGGCGGGGGGGTGGCCTCAGACATGTAACTGGCCACATTCAAACCCAACTTGTTTCCAAGCAACCCGGACCCCTGTGTCAGTGAGCTGGCCGCTCCCTCGTTTACCACTCAGCACCAAGTCTGCATCTATGATGACTGTACATTTTCTTCCAGGGCATTGATAAAAATGTAAATAACGTAAGTCCAAGAACCAGTCCCTGTAGGACCCTTCTATCTTAAGGAAAGGTAGAAGGGAGACCAGCACAATTGAGGTAATGGATTTCAGGAAGGCAGATTTTGATAAGCTCAGAGAACTTGTAGGTAAGGTCCCAGGGGAAGCAAGACTGAAGGGAAAAACAACTGAGGAGAGTTGGAAGTATTTCAAAGGGACATTGTTAAGGGCCCAAAAGCAAACAATTCCGCTGTGTAGGAAAGATAGAAAATATGGCAAAAGACCAGCTTGGCTTAACAAGGAGATCTTGCATGATCTCAAAATAAAAAAGGAGTCATATAAAAAATGGAAACTAGGACAACTAACAAAGGATGAATATAGGCAAGCAACACGGGAATGCAGGGGCAAGATTAGAAAGGCAAAGCCACAAAATGAGATCAAACTAGCTACAGGCATAAAGGGAAACAAGAAGACCTTTTATAAATACATTAAAAGCAAGAGGAAGACCAAGGACAGGGTAGGCCCACTGCTCAGTGAGGAGGGAGAAGCAGTAACAGGAAACTTGGAAATGGCAGAGATGCTCAATGACTTCTTTGTTTCGGTCTTCACCGAGAAGTCTGGAGGTGTGCCTAACGTAGTGAATACAAGCAGAGAGAGGGTAAGTTTAGAAGATAGGATACACAAAGAACAAGTTAAAAATCACTTAGGAAAGTTAGATGTCAGCAAGTCACCAGGTCCTGATGAAATGCATCCCAGGATACTCAAGGAGCTGATAGAGGAGCTATCTGAGCCTTTAGCTATGATTTTTGAAAAATCATGGCAGACAGGGGAGATTCCAGAAGACTGGAAAAGGGCAAATATTGTGCCCATCTATAAAAAGGGGAATAAGAACAACCCAGGAAACTACAGACCGGTCAGTTTAACGTCTGTCCCAGGGAAGATAATGGAGCAGGTAATTAAGGAAATCATATGCAAACACTTGGAAGGTAATAAAGTGATAGGGAATAGCCAGCATGGGTTTGTGAAGAACAAGTCATGCCAAACTAATCTGATAGCTTTCTTTGATAAGATAACGAGCCTTGTGGATAAGGGAGAAGCGGTGGATGTCATATACCTAGACTTTAGTAAGGCATTTGATACGGTCTCGCATGATATTCTTATTGATAAACTAGGCAAATATAACTTAGATAGGGCCACGATAAGGTGGGTGCATAATTGGCTGGATAACCGTAGTCAGAGAGTTGTTGTTAACGGTTCTAAATCCTGCTGGAAAGGGATAACAAGTGGAGTTCCTCAAGGGTCTGTTTTGGGACCCATACTGTTCAATATCTTCATCAATGATGTAGATATTGGGATAGAGAGTACGCTTATTAAGTTTGCAGATGATACCAAACTGGGTGGGGTTGCAACTTCTTTGGAGGATAGGGACATAATTCAAAATGACCTTAGCAAGTTAGAGAAATGGTCAGAGGTAAACAGGATGAGGTTTAATAAAGAGAAATGCAAAGTGCTCCACTTAGGAAGGAACAATCAGTTCCATACATACAAGATGGGAAGCGACTGTCTAGGAAGGAGCATGGCAGAAAGGGATCTAGGGGTCATAGTGGACCACAAGTTGAATATGAGTCAACAGTGTGATGCTGTTGCAAAAAAAGCAAATATGATTCTAGGTTGTATCAACAGGTGTGTTGTAAGCAAAACTCGTGAAGTCATTCTGCCGCTCTACTCTGCACTAGTTAGGCCTCAGCTGGAGTACTGTGTCCAGTTCTGGGCGCCACATTTCAAGAAAGATGTGGAGAAATTGGAAAGGGTACAGAGAAGAGCAACAAGAATGATTAAAGGTTTAGAGAACATGACCTATGAAGCCAGGCTTCATGAACTGGGCTTGTTTAGTTTGGAAAAAAGAAGATTAAGGGGGGACATGATAGCGGTTTTCAAATATCTAAAAGGGTGTCACAAGGAGGAAGGAGAAAATTTGTTCCTCTTGGTTTCTGAGGACAGGACAAGGAGTAATGGGCTTAAAGTGCAGCAGGGGAGGTTTAGATTGGACATTAGGAACCCATACAGAAACAGCCCGGGGCCCCTGCCCCTTGGGAGCACCCACCCAGACACCAGGAGAAGTAGGCCAAGTAGCCTCTGGGAGTCCAGCGTCCTCGCAGCCCAAAGCCCCTGGAGAGGCTCTGGCTGTGCGCAGCCAAGACAGACCCTTCCCCTGTGCTGGCTGAAGTGATTTGGGCAGGACACATGGAGGGGGACGAGGTGCAGCCCCCAAGGGATAACAAAGCCACCAGGGGAGCCGTACCTGCTCCGGGAGCTCCGTCAGGGCTTTCTGTGTTGCCGTCAGGGGCAGGCGTCACTGGGGGGGCCCCGCCGTCTGTGGTGAGACACAGGGACTCAAACATGCAGAATCCAGGGGCCTCCCAGCACCCCATGACCAGCCCTCTGGCTATGCCCCCAGCCCGGGTTTACTCAGCAGCTCCCCTGGAGCACCTGCAGTGACGCCAGGAAAAGCCCACACCTGGCCCCTCACCCACAACCCAAAACGTTCACAACGCTTGAAGGCTGCTCTTCCCACTCCTCTCGTACGCAGCCCAGAGACCCGCTGCGTCTACCCTCCTGCGGCCGTGCCAGGCCCGCCCTAGACCCTCTGCAGACTGCTCTGGGCTCATCCCAGCATTCTGCTCTGCCTGGAGCTCTGACGAAAGGGGCAAGGGCTGGATTAGGGGCGGGGGCATAAGAGGGGCCTCCGGTGGCTTAGAAGGCTGCTCTTCCCACTCCTCTCGTACGCAGCCCAGAGACCCGCTGCGTCTACCCTCCTGCGGCCGTGCCAGGCCCGCCCTAGACCCTCTGCAGACTGCTCTGGGCTCATCCCAGCATTCTGCTCTGCCTGGAGCTCTGACGAAAGGGGCAAGGGCTGGATTAGGGGCGGGGGCATAAGAGGGGCCTCCGGTGGCTTAGGCTCTCCGGGTCAGTGAGACTGGAGCCATGCGGCCTCCTGCCTCCCTGCTGCTCCGGGTCGGTGAGACTGGAGCCATGCGGCCTCCTGCCTCCCTGCTGCTCCGGGTCGGTGAGACTGGAGCCATGCGGCCTCCTGCCTCCCTGCTGCTCCGGGTCGGTGAGACTGGAGCCATGCGGCCTCCTGCCTCCCTGCTGCTCCGGGTCGGTGAGACTGGAGCCATGCGGCCTCCTGCCTCCCTGCTGCTCCGGGTCGGTGAGACTGGAGCCATGCGGCCTCCTGCCTCCCTGCTGCTCCGGGTCAGTGAGACTGGAGCCATGCGGCCTCCCGCCTCCCTGGTGCTCCGGGTCAATGAGACTGGAGTCATGTGGTCTCCTGCCTTCCTGCGTCTCCGGGTCAGTGAGACTGGAGCCATGCGGCCTCCTGCCTCCCTGCTGCTCCGGGTCAGTGAGACTGGAGCCATGCGGCCTCCTGCCTCCCTGCTGCTCCGGGTCGGTGAGACTGGAGCCATGCGGCCTCCTGCCTCCCTGCTGCTCCGGGTCAGTGAGACTGGAGCCATGCGGCCTCCTGCCTCCCTGCTGCTCCGGGTCGGTGAGACTGGAGCCATGCGGCCTCCTGCCTCCCTGCTGCTCCGGGTCAGTGAGACTGGAGCCATGCGGCCTCCTGCCTCCCTGCTGCTCCGGGTCGGTGAGACTGGAGCCATGCGGCCTCCTGCCTCCCTGCTGCTCCGGGTCAGTGAGACTGGAGCCATGCGGCCTCCTGCCTCCCTGCTGCTCCGGGTCGGTGAGACTGGAGCCATGCGGCCTCCTGCCTCCCTGCTGCTCCGGGTCAGTGAGACTGGAGCCATGCGGCCTCCTGCCTCAGGGAGGCTGGGGCGTGTGTGCTCGTCCCTTCCCTGGGCTGGGGGCAGGGTCTCAGCAGAGGGGGCGGGGCTGTAGGGCGAGCTGGGGGGCCTGTCTCCCTCAGTCCCAGCTGCACCCACCACCCATGAAAGGCAGCACGCTCACTGAGCCTTGGCTGAGCTTCTTCTCATTGCCTCCTTGGGGACTGCGCCCCTCAGCACCACCTGCAGCACTGGGAGGTGGAGACAGGGGCCTGGCTCCAGTTGAGGACCCGGGGCCCAGTCTGCCCGGAGGAGTCATGCTCCACTGCAGGCTGTTGCACAGAAAGCCCTGAACCCTGCAGCAAATGGCACCTTCCTCCCCCTAACCCCCTCTGGCCTGCAGGGGCCTTTCATTTCTGGGAGCCAGAGCTATCTGCCGGTGCATGCAGCACCTGGTGCCAGCTCAGACCTGCAGGGAGCTGCGTGAGCTCCACCTCAGAGCCCTGACTCAGGGATGCCGCAGCCAAGCAAGGAGCCCTCGCGGCGTCAGCACTCGCTGCAGGGTGGGACTCAGCACTTACAGCAAAGTGAGCAGAGCAAGCCCGGCCAGGGCATCGGGTCCCGCAGCGCCCACACTGTCCTGTGCTAACCATCAGTCCCCAAGATACCATGTGCCACGGGCATCACAAGGAGCACCAGGGCACAGGCACAGGGAGCTGGAGACAACCCCCAACCCAACAAGCACCTGGTGGGTACAGAGCTGCAGGGTTGCTGTCCAACATCCTCCGCCATTTCCCTAGGCAGCAGCCAAGCTCTGGCCAGTGTCTGGAAGCCGAACCACTTTCACTGTGCCCATGTGTTTCTCCAATTTTGTCCACATCCTTCCTGAAATGTGGTGCCCAGAAATGGACACAATACACCCACAGAAGCCTAATCAGCACAGAGTAGAGCGGAAGAATGACTTCTCGTGTCTTACTCACAACACTCCTGCAAATGCAGCTCAGACTCATGATTGTGGATTTTCCCCCCAACAGCGTCACACTCTTGACTCATATTTAGCTTGTGGTCCACTATGACCCCCAGATCCCGTTCTGCAGGACTCCTCCTAGACAATCACTTCCCATTCTGTGTGTGTGAAACTGAGTGTTCCTTCCTAAGTGGAGCACTTTGCATTTGTCCTTATTAAACTTCATCCCGTTTACCTCAGACCATTTCTCCAGGTCATTTTGAATTCTGACCCTATCTTCCAAAGCACTTGCAACCCCGCCCAGCTTGGTATCATCTGCAAACTTTATAAGCGTCCTCTCTATGTCATTAGCCAAATCACTGATGAAGATATTGAACAGAACCAGCCTCAGAACTAATCCTTGCAGAACCCTTCTAATTATGCTTGTCTAGCATGGCTGTGAACCACTGATAACTACTCTCTGAGCACTGTTATTCAACCAGCTATGCACCCACCTTATAGTAGCCCCATCTAGGTTTTATTTCCCTAATTTATTAATGAGAAGCTCATGCAAGACTTAATAAATGATAACTTTTAGGTATACCACATCTACCACTTCCTGCTTATCTACAAGGCTTATTATCCAATCAAAGAAAGATATGAGGTTGGTCTGACATAATTTGTTCTTTACAAATCCATGCCATTACTTATCATCCTCTTATCTTGTAAATGTTTGCAAATGGATTCCTTAATTATGTGCTCCATTCTCTTTACTGGTACAGAAGTCAAGCTGACTGGTCTGTAGTTTCCTGGATTGTCCTAACTTGTCTAAGTAATTGTAACTTGTTCTTTTCTTATTTTAACTTTTGATCATTTTCACTGGCATTTCCTATGCTAGGAGTACAATCACCTTCTTGGTGAAAACTGAAACGAAGAATTCAGTAAGCACGTCTGCTATTTCCATATTTTCTGGAACTGTTTTCTCCGTCTTCATTGAATAACAATGCTACCCTGTCCTTGGTTTCCTCTTACTTCTGATGTATTTGTGGATTGTTTTCTTGTTACCGTTTATGGATCTGTAGCTAATCTGAGCTCATTTTATGCCTGGGCTTTTCTAATTTTGATATTTGTTTGAATTTGAATTCATCCTTTGTAACTTGACCTAGTTTCCACTGTTTATAGGTCTCCTTTTTTGTTTTTAGCTCATGGAAGATCTCCTGCCTGAGCCAGACTTCCCAGCTTTCCTACGCCGTGGAACAGTTTGCACTATTCCACTCCCTGTGGATGAGAGCCCAGACCTTCCCCTCCTTGCTGCTTCAGGGAACTGTGTTTGTTAGGTCTGTCCCAATACAGACAGGCCGAGATTGCTCCCAAAACAAGGTGTCTATAGGGCAAGGGCAGGGGCAGGGACAGGTTCTTCTCCAGCCAGTCTGGTTCCTCCTTCCTGTTGGATAGCAGTTGGCTCAACGTACCTGGGGCTTGCTGAGCCCATAGCATGGGACCCACCCCCCTTTCCACAGTGGCCTGCACTAGTTCGCCTGTAAACCCACCCGCACCTGCACTGCATGAGTTGTAAGGGCGGTCTCGGTGATGGCGATTTGCCAAGGCTTCCCTCACCCTCACCATGCCACAGCTCTGGCACATCCACCAGCACACGTGCCTTGGTTGTGGGTGGATTGTCTACTCTACGGCTGTGTCTACATTGACATGATTTTGTGCAAAAGCGCCTGCTTTTGCGCAAACACATGCTGCCTGTCTACACTGGCGGGGAGTTCTTGTGCAAGAACACTGACGTTCTAATGTGTGAAATCAGTGCTTCTTGCACAAGCACGATGATGCTCCCACTCAGGAATAAGCCCTCTTGTGCAACTGTTCTTGTGCAAGAGGCCAGTGTAGACAGGCAACAGGAATTTCTTGCGCAAGAAAGCCCGATGGCTAAAATGGCCATGAGAGCTTTCTTGTGCAAGAGAGCGTCCACACTGGCACGGATGCTTTTGCACAAAAGCACATCTCTTGCACAAAGGCACATGCCAGTGCAAATACTTTAATGCAAAAACTGTAGCATTAAAAGTATTTGCGCAAAATCTTGCCAATGTAGACACAGTCTATAGGCGGAGCCTGAACTGAGACTTAGACCACTGGGACTTTGTGACAAATTGTGGGGCTCTGCCAGGCAAATATTTATGCACCGCAGTTTCACAGGCAGTTAGTGGCCGTGCTATCGCCTGGTGCACACCGGCTGTATCATGCATGCGGTGGCTTTGTCTGTGAGCAAGGAGCCAGACAACTAGGGGCCGCCAGCGTGCTTGATGAGTGGGGCTTTCCTAGATCACAAATGCCCCTCGGCAGGCAGGGGCGTCCCAGGGAAGGGCTCAAAGACGCTGAACTGACCAGGCCCTTTCTGACGTGGGGCAGAGCGTGTGCTCCCTGCACTGCTGGGCTTAGCCAGGCTCAGAAGCAGGAGACACCAACAATCCTGGAGAGTTATTCTGGAGGTCTCAAAGAGCCTGGCTCTCCAGCAGCTCCAGTCTGGCGTTGGCTAGCAGGGCTGGGGATACGCAGAGACCCCTGGAGACCCCTGCAGAGACCCCCGCAGGCCATGGAAACCAAGCTGCCTGTGCCCACGGAGCCCCCACAGGTCAGGTGAGGGGTGAGGCCCAGCCACTCGCTGGCACCTGCTCACACGCAGTTTCCCTTCAGTAGCACCAGTGTCTTGGTTCTGCCCTGCTTTGCCTGTCCTGTCTGTGTGTCAGTGGCATGCCCAGCCCTGTCCCACTCCTCCTTACCAGGGATCGGGGCCTGCCTCGGGCTGAGGGCTGCCTGGAAACTTGCCAGGACTTTGCGTCCATGCAGGCTCTGGGTCGGCCGGAAGTTGTTCTGCAGAAGCTCCTCGTGGTCCCCCTGCAGCGTGGTCTCCAGCAGCGAGATCTGCAGAGGAAGATTGCGAGGAGTCACTAAGTCATGCTGGGCGATTTGAGACTGCAGCACTCAGTGTCCTTGTGCAAGGGGGCTGGACTCGGGGTGTCTCTGGCGTCCCATGGGCCTCCCCAGCCTGGTGCCAGTGCTGGCTTGCAGCTCCCCAAGTGACAGGCCTGGCAAAGCCACCTGCAGCCAGCCCACCTCACGCAAGAGAATAGGCAGGCCCTCACCCCCCTGACGGACCTGCTTCTGGGACAGCAGCACTGTCTGGTTGAAGACAGTCCAGTTCACAGTCTGGTAGCAGGGAGGGGTGGTCAGAGAGCCACTGTAGCGGTAATAGCGGCTTAGGCTGGTGGGCAGCAACCCTTTAATATCGAATCCATCCACAGTTGTTTTCTTGCCTGCAAAGAAAAAAAATACTGCTGGTGTTCTAGAGCAGCATGTCTGCAGGGTGGAGAACAGAGACAGTATGCTCTGGAGGAGTAGAGCTGATCCAGCACCATGCAGGGCAGTGATTTCAACAGACTAGCATGGAGACATTATGCTCTAGAACAACACCGTTCCGTGGACTAGAGCTGATCCAGCACCGTGCAGGGCAGTGATTTCAACAGACTAGCATGGAGACATTATGCTCTAGAACAACACCGTTCCGTGGACTAGAGCTGATCCAGCACCGTGCAGGGCAGTGATTTCAACAGACTAGCATGGAGACATTATGCTCTAGAACAACACCGTTCCGTGGACTAGAGCTGATCCAGCACCGTGCAGGGCAGTGATTTCAACAGACTAGCATGGAGACATTATGCTCTAGAACAACACCGTTCCGTGGACTAGAGCTGATCCAGCACCGTGCAGGGCAGTGATTTCAACAGACTAGCATGGAGACATTATGCTCTAGAACAACACCGTTCCGTGGACTAGAGCTGATCCAGCACCGTGCAGGGCAGTGATTTCAACAGACTAGCATGGAGACATTATGCTCTAGAACAACACCGTTCCGTGGACTAGAGCTGATCCAGCACCGTGCAGGGCAGTGATTTCAACAGACTAGCATGGAGACATTATGCTCTAGAACAACACCGTTCCGTGGACTAGAGCTGATCCAGCACCGTGCAGGGCAGTGATTTCAACAGACTAGCATGGAGACATTATGCTCTAGAACAACACCGTTCCGTGGACTAGAGCTGATCCAGCACCGTGCAGGGCAGTGATTTCAACAGACTAGCATGGAGACATTATGCTCTAGAACAACACCGTTCCGTGGACTAGAGCTGATCCAGCACCGTGCAGGGCAGTGATTTCAACAGACTAGCATGGAGACATTATGCTCTAGAACAACACCGTTCCGTGGACTAGAGCTGATCCAGCACCGTGCAGGGCAGTGATTTCAACAGACTAGCATGGAGACATTATGCTCTAGAACAACACCGTTCCGTGGACTAGAGCTGATCCAGCACCGTGCAGGGCAGTGATTTCAACAGACTAGCATGGAGACATTATGCTCTAGAACAACACCGTTCCGTGGACTAGAGCTGATCCAGCACCGTGCAGGGCAGTGATTTCAACAGACTAGCATGGAGACATTATGCTCTAGAACAACACCGTTCCGTGGACTAGAGCTGATCCAGCACCGTGCAGGGCAGTGATTTCAACAGACTAGCATGGAGACATTATGCTCTAGAACAACACCGTTCCGTGGACTAGAGCTGATCCAGCACCGTGCAGGGCAGTGATTTCAACAGACTAGCATGGAGACATTATGCTCTAGAACAACACCGTTCCGTGGACTAGAGCTGATCCAGCACCGTGCAGGGCAGTGATTTCAACAGACTAGCATGGAGACATTATGCTCTAGAACAACACCGTTCCGTGGACTAGAGCTGATCCAGCACCGTGCAGGGCAGTGATTTCAACAGACTAGCATGGAGACATTATGCTCTAGAACAACACCGTTCCGTGGACTAGAGCTGATCCAGCACCGTGCAGGGCAGTGATTTCAACAGACTAGCATGGAGACATTATGCTCTAGAACAACACCGTTCCGTGGACTAGAGCTGATCCAGCACCGTGCAGGGCAGTGATTTCAACAGACTAGCATGGAGACATTATGCTCTAGAACAACACCGTTCCGTGGACTAGAGCTGATCCAGCACCGTGCAGGGCAGTGATTTCAACAGACTAGCATGGAGACATTATGCTCTAGAACAACACCGTTCCGTGGACTAGAGCTGATCCAGCACCGTGCAGGGCAGTGATTTCAACAGACTAGCATGGAGACATTATGCTCTAGAACAACACCGTTCCGTGGACTAGAGCTGATCCAGCACCGTGCAGGGCAGTGATTTCAACAGACTAGCATGGAGACATTATGCTCTAGAACAACACCGTTCCGTGGACTAGAGCTGATCCAGCACCGTGCAGGGCAGTGATTTCAACAGACTAGCATGGAGACATTATGCTCTAGAACAACACCGTTCCGTGGACTAGAGCTGATCCAGCACCGTGCAGGGCAGTGATTTCAACAGACTAGCATGGAGACATTATGCTCTAGAACAACACCGTTCCGTGGACTAGAGCTGATCCAGCACCGTGCAGGGCAGTGATTTCAACAGACTAGCATGGAGACATTATGCTCTAGAACAACACCGTTCCGTGGACTAGAGCTGATCCAGCACCGTGCAGGGCAGTGATTTCAACAGACTAGCATGGAGACATTATGCTCTAGAACAACACCGTTCCGTGGACTAGAGCTGATCCAGCACCGTGCAGGGCAGTGATTTCAACAGACTAGCATGGAGACATTATGCTCTAGAACAACACCGTTCCGTGGACTAGAGCTGATCCAGCACCGTGCAGGGCAGTGATTTCAACAGACTAGCATGGAGACATTATGCTCTAGAACAACACCGTTCCGTGGACTAGAGCTGATCCAGCACCGTGCAGGGCAGTGATTTCAACAGACTAGCATGGAGACATTATGCTCTAGAACAACACCGCTCCGTGAACTAGAGCTGATCCAGTACCGTGCAGGGCAGTGATTTCAACAGACTAGCGTGAAGACATTATGCTCTAGAACAACACCGCTCCGTGAACTAGAGCGGATCCAGTACCATGCAGGGCAGTATTTCAACAGACTAGTGTGGAGACAGCATGCTCTAGAGCAACACCGCTCTGTGGACTAGAGCTGATCCAGTACTGCGCAGGGCAGTGATTTCAACAGACTAGCGTGGAGACAGCACGCTCTAGAGTAGCACGGCTCCATAGACTAGAGCACAGCTACAACACAAATCATGAGCAGCACTGGCCTATGGGATCCAAATCTGGACAACAGCAGCGGGAGCATGGGCAGCACATCCCCCTGAGCCACCAGCCCGAGATGCTGAACTGTCACTGCCCAGCCCGTGGGAACACACCCCAGCTGAACTGCAGAAGCACAAAGCCCTCCCCCGGCTTACCCAGTCTGGACAAGCCCTAAATGAACAAGCCTAAGGCGCTAAGGAAGCCGTGTCAATGGAGCAAGTGCAGAGAGGGAAGAGACCAGGCATGCAAGTGCTGAGCAGGGAATCCCTGAAAGGCCTTTGCTGAGCTAGCCACTCGGTGCCTGTCTGTCTCTGTCTGGCATGCACAGGCCTCTCCACACACAGTGGCTTGCTTGCTGCCCCCATGGAGACATGGCATCTGTATCCCCTCACTGGCACTGCCGGCAATGGGGCTTTACCTTTCTCTTGGACCTCAGGCAGCTGCTCAAGCAGAGGCTGATAGTGCTCGTTGTCCTCGGGCCCAACCTGAAACAGAGACTAGCAGGTGTGAGAGCACAGGCCCGAGGGCAGGCAGGGGGGTCATTCCAGACACAGACCAACAGCAGAGAAACCTGTCACCTCCCTGACTGCCCTGGCCAGTCCCCCCGCTCCCCACTGGCACTGCCTGAGGCCGGGGCACTTCCTAGTTCTGCATTGGCCTGGCGCAGCAAACGTGGCGTCCCTGTGTCCGAGCGGGCACAGCCCGGCGAGTGGAGCGTTTCTCGTTCCGTTGGCCCTGTTCCCCGCCACTCCAGCACTGCCTATGCCCTCTCCCTTCCCGCCTCCCCGGCCACACCCAGCCAGCGACGCCCCATTGGTATCACCTGCAGGAAAGCTGCCAGCACTGCTAGGCCACCAGGCTGCCTCATTGCTTCCTTGATGCTCTGGTAGCTGGGGTTGTAATAAACCACATGGAGCTGGAATCAAAGCACAGAACCCTCTGAGGCCCCACTGTGCCATGGGTGAGGGCTGGACCGTCCTGCCCCAGTCCCCGTGGGCGACACCTAGGTCTGGCTCCTCTCCATTAGCAGTGCCTGGAGCTTGGTCCCCTGGCCAGAGCCCCCCAGGGGAGCGCCCTGAAGTGTTTACAGTGATCCGAGCATGCTGTAGAGCCCACCCTGAATGAGGCTACACTGCCACCAGCCTCCCCCCACGTTCTGAACATGGCTCAGGTCTCAAGGGCATCTCCCTGGTGCCTCTGTATCTGGGACAGCAGCGTGCTGGCAGCCTGGCCCAGCGCCTGCCCTCCCTCATGCACTGGGCCCTGGTGGCAGAGGCAGGTGGGTAAAACCTGTTAGGAACCAGCCTCAGGCAGCAGGCACCTCTGTGTCTAACACAAATAGCCCGTCGCTCTGGGCTGGTGCCAGAGAGGCGGGCACAGAGAGCTCCCCCCACGAACACCCCTGCCCTCGCATGCCAGCAGAACAGATTAAACTAGCTGCAAGTGCAGTGCAGCCTGCACTGGGGAGCATTGCCTTGACCCCTCCTTGGGTATAGGGTCCCCTGGGACAGCTGGGGGCTGGTCCCCTCCTGGGGCAGTTTGAATGGGGGCCCTGGGCCTAGGTGGGGGTGAGATCTCTGTGCCCCAGCACCTGGTCAGCCTCGGGGCTAGCTGGCTGCAGAGCTGTATGATTGTTTAGCCTGGCCACAGTGGTGTGTTTATCCATGCCCTCCACGCTGTGTCCCGGTGCCTGGCTCCAGGCCAGTCTCACCCCACCCCCATCCTGCTGGCACAATGGCCCGTCCGTGGGGGAGGGGTCACCTCTCTTGTATTCCAGGCGCTTGTTTCCTCGGGCCCCTGGCACCGGGCACTGGAGCTGCGCTCTCAGAGGACTGAGCCGAGAGCAGAGACCATGGCTGGAGCATCCTGCCGAGGCCAAAGGGGCAGCCCCCAATGGGTTGCCTGTGAGCTGGGGATGCCACATCCCAGGTGGAAACAGCCAGACCGCGTAGGACTGACATGAGCACAGCCAGTACCAGGCACAGCTCCTCGGGCCCCTGGCACCGGGCACTGGAGCTGCGCTCTCAGAGGACTGAGCCGAGAGCAGAGACCATGGCTGGAGCATCCTGCCGAGGCCAAAGGGGCAGCCCCCAATGGGTTGCCTGTGAGCTGGGGATGCCACATCCCAGGTGGAAACAGCCAGACCGCGTAGGACTGACATGAGCACAGCCAGTACCAGGCACAGCTGGGGAAAGTCCAGGAAAGTCCCGGACGGATCTTTACCTCCCCATCATAGCGGCGTCCATCCACAGTGTGTTCTGAGCCAGGCCCCTCCGGAGAACCCCAGTGCAGGTGCAGCTGTGACGCTCTGTACTCCTGGGGGTAGCCGCTGGCAATAGTCAGAGAGCTTGGCAGCTCGAGGACAACTGCAGGAGCGAGGGAGTGAACGGGCAGAGATGGGCTGGCACCAGGGGGAGGCGTGCTATGGCGAGCTGATCTTATTCGGGGACGGGGTTAGAACCCCAGAACCCCAGGGCGGGCAGAGACCTCAGGAGGTCATTGAGGCCAGGCCCCTGCCCAGAGCAGGACCAAGCCCACTAAGGAGTTTGGCTGTGAGAGGGGACGGCCCAGTGTAAGGTACTGGGAATAGTGTTTGACAGTACCGTGCAGCACCCCTTCGCCCTGTACAGGGGTCTCTTTCTGAGCCCGCCCCAATGTGCTAGAGAAACACCATGGCCCACCTGTGGGGGTGGGGGAAGCAGGGCGATTGCCCAGGGCCTCATGGAGCTAAGTTGCTCAGGCTGTCAGGGGCCCAGCTTCAGCCTTACATGGTGGGGCTTGGCTTTCCGCCTTGGGCCCCAGTGAGTCTAGCTCTGGCCCTGCTTGGCGCCCCCCCAGTACCTGCTCACAGCCCCGCAGGGGCCCCAGGCCGAAAGGAGCATGTAAAATAGCTAACGTGCTGGAAACCGACAGCTCTCACAAAGCAGCTGCCAATGGGGATCCTCATTCCGCACGGGGTTGCTAGTGGGGTTCTTCAGGGACACTAGTCGACAGTTTCATTAACACAGCCAGTAAGTCGCTGCTGGGGGTGCAGCCTGGCGGAGTGGGACAGCCAATGTGGATCGATTGGTGAGCTGGGCCCAAACGTGCGTTAATGCGGCCAAACGCCAAGGAACAAGAAATCCCGGCTCCACTCAGACTGGGAGCCACGTCCGGGAAGCAGCGACTCTGACACAGACTCAACAGGGGTTAATGTGGTCCGTGGATGTCTGAATGGGGGTGGAGCAGGGAGGTGCTTTTACCCCGTATATGGCATTGGGGAGCCTGTGCCTGCATCCAGTCCCAGGGTCCATGTTGAAAACTAGAGGATGAAGAAAGCGCTGCAGAAACTAGCCGAGTGGCGCAGCAAATGTCTCCTTGAGAGACCTGGATCTCTTCAATCAAAGAGCCACCTTGCTCACAGTGCAGGGTTTGGCTACAGCACATGAACTCCCAGGAAACTCCGTCCAAACGAACGTTTACAGTAGATGAGTGAAGCCCCAAGAAACCCGTGTGGACACTGAATCAGAATTAAAGTGAACTAAGCAAAACTGCATTAAGATCACTTTAATTCTGAGTAGGCGAAAATCCACAGGAGTTCAATGCAGTTTAACTAACCCACTTTACATTCATATGTTGAACTTATTTGGATTAATTTTCCTGTATGCCCCTGGCTAAACAAATCCTTATTTACCTCGTCACCCTAGTCCAAGTTCTTTCTTGGGAAGAAAATGCCAGGTTCAAAGGGCCTTTTACTCTAACAGAGAACGGCAGACCAAGAACCAATGGCTGGAATCTGAACCCACATGTATTAAAATTAGAAATGAGGCACAAATTCGGAAGCCTTGTTGACTGGAGATTAACTCATAAGAGCTAAGAACATAGAATGGCCAGACTGGGTCAGACCAATGGGCAGGGGCGGATGAGAGCGCCGCGGGGCCCCGGGCAGCAAAATTTTGCAAGGCTCCTCCTTTGACACGGCGCATGCAGGGGGCCTCGGGAAGCGCGGGGCCTGGGGCAGCCGCCCCGCTCGCCCTGCCCTAAACCCGCCGCTGCCAATGGGCCCTCCAGCCCAGTACCCGGTCTGCCCACAGCGGCCAATGCCGGTGCTCCAGAGAGAGGGAACACAACAGGGAATCCTCACTTGATCCCTCCCTGACACTCATTCCCAGCCTCCGGCACAACGCCTGGCACACAGTGCTAGAAGCAGCATGGGGCTCCATGTCTCGTGCACATCTTCACGCATGGCTGCCTGGCTGGAGCCAAACACAAGTGCTGAGACTCGGTGCAGGGGCCTGTGCCACACTGCAGCTCGGACTAGGGATACGCTGGCCCCTTGTGGCCTTGGACTCCAGGGCTGTGTCTAGACTACATGGCTCCATCGAGGGAGCCATGTAGATGAGGGTTGTAGGCAAAGGGAAATGAAGCGGCGATTTAAATAATCGCCGCTTCATTTAAATTTACATGGCTGCCGCGTTGAGCCGACAAACAGCT